ATATAAAAAAAAAAGTTCGGTTCTTATTCGGTTCTTCGGTTCTTGGTCGAGAACCAAGAACCGAACCAAACCATTCGGTTCTCGATTCGGATACCCGTTCGGATATTTCATTTTAAAAAACCCGCTCGGTTCGGTTCGGTTCGGTTCGGTTCCGGTTCGGTTTGGACATTTTGCCCAACCCTATTGCTAATCTGTTTAGAAAAATTAAAATTTTTAATTAATTCAATATAAAAAATTAAACAAATTATTTAAATTCGGTTCTTATTCGGTTGTGGGTCTAGAATCGAGAATCAAACCAAATCCGTCGGTTCTCGATTCAGATACTCATTCGGGTATGTAACTTATGAAGAATTGCTCGATTCGGTTCGAAAGTTTTGTCCAACCCTAATTCTTCTTACAAAAAATTATTTTTTCAGCACAACGAAAACTAATTCTCTTAAAATCTAGCAATACCAAAACATATGTAAAGGACGCAAGAGGAAATGAACATGGGCTTACCTTGTTTGAAGTTTCAACTTATAAAAATGGAGTTTATACAAACCTTGCTTGTTAAGATGAGGTTGGTAATCCGTGGAGGGAGCTACATGTTTATGTGCATTTAGCGATTCATATCTTGTAGATAAATAAATAGTATTCTATGAATTGCTACCTATGTGACATATAAATAGAAAGATTGTTTATCTGTGTGGTATTGATGTCTAATGAATAGATGGCCAAACTCAAAATTGGTCTCCGATAAAATCTATTAATAAATCAATGCTACTTATTTTCTTAAAATAAAAAATTATTATTTTTTATTAATGAACAAATTTATTATTTTATTTAATCCATTAATTTCATGAGTTGATGACCCAAAAATTTTCTTCTTTGAATAATTTGATTCTTCAAAACCTACATTCTTGATAGAGACAAGTTAGTTTGCATGGAATTCAATGACAAAAGTTGGGTTTTATGATGAAATCATTTTTTGTTTCATTCAATCCGAACATGGAAGAGTATTAGGATTTTGATGATAATAATTATAATGACCCTTCAATATTTTCTCGAGTACATTGAAGAATATTTTGAGTTTGAGTAATGCAAACGAGCCTTACGATGGGTTCCCTCTTTATTACATTGAACCCGATATCAAGATCTTTTAGGAATTTCATATTCAAATTATCAAACAAATTAATGATGACGGAGAGGTCGACAGAGCTCGATATATACCCCAAAATCTGTTTGTTATTTCCACTAAAAGAGTTAGTACATAGGTCTTTGTATTTGATTATAGCAAGCATCTGTCTAAGCCCCTTGTAGATACTGCTGACTGCATGAAACCCTGATTTGAGGCTAAAGGATATGATTTGTCCCGAAGTCAGTTCAAGCATGATCATTGATTGAGTTGATCTGATGGTGCCCAAATATGTATGTGGGACATCAATGCAACTTCAGAAAAATAAGATTCCAGATGGAAGAACTGAAATATTAAATTATATCAATTATTTTGTCGATTGCTTTGGTAAGAGTAATTCGATACTACAAAGGATTATTGCCAAGTTCTTGGTTATGAATTATGATGTAATTATCTTATCAAATGAATTGTCATTGTTGTTGAACTCGAAAAATGGCTCCGACACGTGGCTAACAGAAAATATCTTCTAGTCAGCTCTTCCTGCCACTACGCCAAAAATGAGCATTTGCAACACATTAAAGGCAACATTCGGTAGTTAAGTGTTGTTAAAGGAGTCTATCGCAACATTTTAATAAGTGAATGTTGCTATTGGTTAATATAATTGAGTTTTAGCAATATTTTATAAATAAATGTTGCAAAAAGTGTCTTTCGCAACGTTTATT